GTATGAGGGGCTGTGGTATCGATTACTGTGCATTGAACAGCAATGTTTCCCCTTTATTCGGTTGCCTGTCTTGACACGTATTTCCATGTCAAACACTCCTACATGTGTTGTAAGTCTTTCGCCTTACTGGACAACTACTGATGGCATGTCTTCGAATGGAACGTCTTCTTTCCTCTTAATATCTTCCTTGCATCCTTCGACATCTATCGCTCACACTTTTGATGTTTGTGATGATGCTCTTCGAAATAAATGGCAACGATGGTAATTGTGCACAGGGAGGTAAAGTTAATCGCTTCCTCAGGCACGTACAGTGAGAGGCCATAGGAAAATACCCACGGAAACTGAAGGAATAAAATTTATAAAGGTACCAACTGTAGCTTTATCATTCCTGCCGTACGAAATGATGAGGTCAAAACAATCCATAGAATCGACTGACGACCGGCGCAGCACGGGATGAGCACGATAGGCATGAATTGGCGTTATACGACGAACGGTCTGGAGTGTCCTCATTTCCGTGTGCTAGTTTCGTTATACAGAATTTTTAGCTATAGCAATGGTTCACCACAATAAGATTCCTTAATACGACCACCACCAAGCGAATTTAAAAGAAGCAACGACTAAGTCCATGATCAGTTAGGCGTCATACCTTTCTGAAATCAAGCGGCTTTGCTACGGTGCCCGGTCATAACAGTCTCAGTTATGTTATCAGTTGCCACCACTACCAGCAAGACGTACGAAACTGTTCATGCATTCGCTAGTTACTTAGTTAGCTGATATGAAATTTACTATTTTTAAGAGTGGGTTCATGCGCTTTGTCTCTTAAGGTGAATCCCCATGCACATATCCTCTCAGCTGAGCAGCAAAATGTGAGATAGGGTAACACATTGAAATCAGCTTCCAGAGAAGTCACACGATTTAATAATTAAGATAATCGTTCAGCTGTAACACCCTTTCGGTTGTTAGCTACCATGCCACCAGAGGGAACCACAAGGTCTGCAATACTGCTATGTTGCCCAAGCCTAGACAGGAGAAGTCACCAAATTTGCCATATCGGAAACCAACCTTGTTCATTGTCAATGGGAAATCTCCACATTTTACCCTCTTGGGTCCATTGAAGCCACTCATCAAACTGATTGAGAGGAATGGATGAGAGGAGGGACAATTCCAACACTTCAAGTGAATCGAAAACCGGACATTTTGACATTTCCTCCGCAGATGTCTCAGTGCACGCTGAAACGAAACAAGACTGTGAGATGATGTCAACAAACCTTTCAAAGATGACGAATCCCGGACAAAAAGGTTTAGTTTAGGTGGCTCGGGAAGTCTGCAATAAAACACGACCATAAGGAGAAGGAATGTTCAGACTTGCTTGCAACTGAAACGAAGACCTTTAGGGTAAACAGTAACAGGTAAGCGGAGAAGTATACCTACCCTTGAACCTTTCGGTTCGATCAACAAGGAGGCTGTTGGAGAAGGCTTGAAACAGAACGCTATTTGTTGGCCGCAATTATTCTCTGGACAAAGAAGTGACTTACGAAGCTTGAACGACGGGTTTGCTTGGAGAAGTACCACTTCACATAAGTAAAATATGATTCAGATTTATGCTGAATACCTTTCACGTCGCTGTTTGTTTTCAGCATGAGATGATGACCGATGGACTGTGGCATGAGGGGAAACTGTACGTTTCTCATGCACTTTCGTGGATTGTTTTTCTTCATATTTTCTGCAAACAAATGAAGGGTTAGGTATCATTACCTGTAAGGCTCCTCTGCACTATCCACAAACATTCCAAGCAGTTCACTGAAAAATGCAGTTTGGGAAAAGTAAAGTAAATTACTAACCTTGCTTTCCGCCGTGTCTTGGGTTTTATCCTTTGAAATGAACGCGGATAAGTAATCAGCAGAATGAACGTACTCTGTAGTGTTCTTGTCTTCCTCCGCGCCCTTGTTCGACCGACCAGCAACTCGAAAACTTCGCCAGAAGAATTGCTGAATCTTCCATGGAGGGCGAACCGTAGGCACATTCAAATGCAGTAACATAATTTGTCCGTATTTGTATTGGGAACTAGTTGCTATCGGCAGCTAACATCTGTGAGTCGGTCGTGATACCTACAAAGGAGAAGAGTTTCAGTTACAGCACGGCTAGCAGCAAAAGTGCACCGACCAGCTTGTGTTGGGATTCCTCCATTGGACACTTACCATTGTTAGGATAGGAACATTAGCGCATCTGGACACTAAAGAAAAGGTTAAGATGCCCTGAGTTGTCTTCACCTCATAGCGGGAAACCCGTCATTGCATGTATACCCTCGAACGCCATCAGATTCCTCTCAGAACAATTCAATATACTCACTGAGATATATTTAGGCCCGTATAATGGCACCCTATGAAAATAACAAGAACGTTGTAACGTCTGGAAGCATTTGCTCAGTAAACCAACGGAACCCCTTAGACGTCTCTCTCAGGAGCTCCGGGAATCAGAAAGGTCTAGATGGATTTTTGAACATGTATTTAGTTACAACGAAATGACTCGGTTGTGGAGCCGCGAAATTACGGATCGGAACGTCCATGGTTCGAACCCAACCTCAGCATCTCGATTGCTCCAGTCTAGTCTTGGTAAACCTGGCAGTATCTCAGCCAGGGTAACATCGAACATTGAAACCGAAGGGAAGTTACAGCGCAACAATTGTTATCTTTATTGTATTGATGAGTGGGATTGTGGTTGCGATTAGAACACTGTCTTAGCCGTTAATTGACGGCGGTATGGTATACTTGGATTCGGGACTGGTTCGTTGGTTGGCAACACGCCGTCAAGCGATTTCTGCTGTTCCGGAAATCGGTACCTCAAAGGAACGGTCTGCGATCAGCACATTTCTGGAGTGGACACACTCGATTGTCCATCCGTCACGAATTCGACCCGAGATGACCAATAATTGGGCCTCAGAAGCGCTTAGTCTACCTGACTGGGTGTTCATGTAATCAACAACCACAATGATGTGCGAGCATTTAGTCCGTCGTAAAAGAGCACAAATGGCATTCTAGGGAATGCCATATGGAAACTGTCCTTGATGGATTCACAGTCTGTCGGAGCGTCACCATCATTACCAGCTTTAGTAAACCGCATACTTGCCGTACAGTTGTTGAAGCTGCCACAGTTTCCTTCACCGACGATTTGTAAAGGGTAGATAGCTGCACACTGAAGGCGGGGGCCAATAAATTGGTGCGTAAATACAGGATTGTGGTGGGATTGGGAAGAGACTATGCACTGGAAGGCAATAGTTTGGATGCACGAGCGCCATTGAGGGTGCAACTGGGTCATATCTGACAGTGTCTCTAACCATTGATGTGGCCCGTCTCGGAGTCCCCATCCAGGAATACGGCAGTGACTAGCGCAGCTGAGTTTGTTGATAATTACTAATACTTCGCTGCCAAGCCATTGTTTGACCTCTTCTGGTTCGTTTTCACCCTTCATGTGGTTGTGTGAAAAGAACCCTGCTAGGTCGGCCGACTGGCATATGGAGCAGGTGGCCAAGCCAGCGCAACCTGCGGAGAGTGATCAGTTCACCCATCGTGGGCGAGTTATCTCTTCCGAAAACTCTTCGACGAACATCAGCATTACTGATCCGGTGTTCCCACCAGACTCAAGCAATGCTCAATGACATCGATGGTCAAACACCGGAAGACTTTTGACGCCCCCGACGCGCAGCAGTCAGGTTTCTGATCCCCATAGTAACATGGAGCACACCGCAGCATTGTAGCATCGACCCTTGACGGAGAAGTTGATGTCACGCCTACACTACAGGTGACGCAGGTTCAAAAAAGCCTCTTTGGCCTTCCAAATCCGGATGGAAGTATCATCTTTCGCGAGACCACTGGAACTGATGCAGCTTTCAGGTACGCAAATTCGTCCACTGCCTCAATCGGTTCATCCGCAAGTATGAGGTTAGGTTCTGAGCCCACCCATTCTTGTAGTAGCACTTTACATTTTGAGGATGCCAAACCATGAGACGAAATTTAGACTATTTAATATTGTTTGAATTACCACGGGGCCAGATACAAAAGGAGCTATGTCGTCTGCGTACTCGGTATCTGTGAGCGGACGCCCCGGGGGCACTTCGGCCCCACCGGCATTAGAGGCTGCTAGTGAGTCTTCCATGGTCATATCAATGACGAAATTGAATAGAAAAAGTGAAAGAGAACAGCCCTGCCTGACACTGCTTGGTGTGGTGAACTCTGACGAGCTTCCTGTGGACCTTTACACGGCCGTGGAAGTCTGTGTACAGCGCCTTAAGGAGGGTGAAGAATTTATGAGGGACACCTTTGCTCCACACTCACTGACATGGTGCTTGGCAGTTCGAAGATTCAAAGGCAGCTTGCAGATCAAAGAACGCAACCATCGGTGGTTGCTGGAAGCAGTGTCGCTGTTCCAGAATCTGTCGAAGGGTGGTCGATCTCCTTCAGGACGGAACCCCGCTTGGTTTTCACGGATCTACCCCTCCCTGTGTTCAATCAACCGTCAAAAGATAAAACCAGAGGGAACTTTCGATGCCACAACTGCCCGGCTGATGCCACGGTGGTTTTCACACAGTGTCCGCGTACCTTTTTTGAAGATAGGGTAACTGTCGTCATGCCTCATTCTGCAGGCACTTTCTCTTCACTCCATATAGCACCAATTAGTCTTGTCAGATGGGTCACCAGGGATTTTCCTTCTTTGAAAAGGGCTGGATACAGACCGTCCGGTACTTGTGCTTTCAGTATCTTTGAAAAGGGCTGGATACAGACCGTCCAGTACTTGTGATTTCAGTACGGATATTTCATACTTTATTTCTTCTTCCGACGGACGATCAAGGTTCACATTTCATCTAGCCGTATGCACAATCATTACTAGCTGGGTTGCAGAAGGCCAGCTAAACTGTTCTTCGAAGTGTTCGGCAGATCTTTCCAATCGACATTTTTCACTTACCGTTTCACTATGTGTTACTTTCCCGAGGCCAGTCGATCGTGTCAGTTGATATAGGGCACGGCTGTTTCCCGTAACAAAACCCTTCTCTGTCTCCCGAGCTTTCAATGTCCACCAGAGCTTTCGGTCCTTCCTTAGACTCTTCACTATTTGGCGTTTGGAGGGTTTGCGCCGTCGTACATGTTATTTCCTGGTATGCATTTCCTGGCATCGATCAGGACTATCTTGCGGTCGAGTCGGAGAAGTCGATAAGAAAGTAGTGAACGCCGCTAGTGTAGCTCCTTTCAAAATTCGCCGTGCTTCATCCACATGCTCGTTACCACCACAGTATCCGTTTAGCGTGAGGAGTTGTTCGGCTAGCTCAGATACTGTTGGGCTATGGTAGTTCTTCGAAGATAGTGGACTGGCGCCTTCTTGCTGACTTGCGGGGGCCTGAAGGGAAGCAGACGTGCGCGCACCATGATGTGGTCAGAATCAAGTGGTGTGCCCCAGAAGGAACGGCAGTCTTGAATTGTGGCTCTCCACACACACCTGACGCGGATGCGCATAGCAGGTGCCATTTGAGCAGCACCGGACTCTTTGGTTTCAAGGGTACTTCAACCGTACTGAATAACGCGCCACTGGTCACGGTCGACCGTAGGGCGATCGGAGTGTGCGGTTTTTGGGACCGACCTTTTCTAACCCGCCATTCTTCGGGGGAAGACAGCATCGGTGCTTCCATAACTATGAACACGCTGGTCGCCTGTTAGGAACGCCTCACTACCTGCACACTCCTGTCGCATAGGACAGTACGAATTTACTCCCAGACCACCTCGTAGCACGATTACTCGTAGTATGTCTCGCTGCTCTTGGTGTGACTGCTCCCCTTTGACCTTCATGGCATGCTTCCACCTTGTGGAACAAAGTTTCAACTAGTGTGGCCCGCGGGATCGTTGCAGCACTCAAGCCCGACCACCACGTCAAGGTGGCAGCTTTCGACCGGGCTGTCGGGGCGTAACTAGTCACAATGACCTCACTCCCTCGGGATTCTTTCACAGACGTTGCCAAACCAATTGCAAAGGGACAAATTTAACGGGTATTCAACCAAGTGAAGACGCTTCCGTTCAATTCCTCCACATAATAACCATCCCGACCCGCTAGAGCGGCCTGTACATCAACAGAGTTATGAACCCCGAAGCTGGAAGAGAACGAGGGGGTAGTCAGTTCAACTTCGGTACTTGCTTGCTTCGGGACTATAGGCAGTTAACTAGACCGGCTTTCCGGGTATGAAAACCGACTTCGAGCCTCAACCTCAACCCGTCAGTATCACATCTTTCAGGGTTAATCAGTATCCTCTATCGACTCAATGGTCGCAAAAATTTTTGTATTTACTCATGGGGCAGTATCCGGCCATACATATGATGTATGGTGGATGAGTTCGGAAGATACCTTCCAGAATGCTTTTGGAACTCTATTCTGCTCCGAAAACTAGGTGCTGTTGATTACGGAAGCTCTGCGAAATTCATCTTTCCACAAGAGACTTCGATCGAGCGGTAAACCAACTGCGTGATGATTTTCGGTGCTCATTGTTCAGTAAAACTGCCCCGAATTAACCAAACGCGGTCCGGACGATCGTCACTTGCGTACGCGCTGTGAATCGTAATTTCATAGACTTCCAGCATTTTACTACTAGAGCAAGGGGGCGAGATGACTCAGTGGTTGGAGCGCAAATTTGCTGACCAAAAGGTTCGTAGTTCGAACCCGACTTCTGCCCCTCGACTTCCTCTGTCTAGGCTTGAGCAAACTGGCAGTATGGCAGCCCCCGTCCAAGCTTCAGCAGCAAAAGGATATAACAAGGAGAACAGCTCACTATTGAGTACCAACCTTTGTCCAATAGTGAACAAAAGACTGCGAATGTGAAATAGGAAGACAACTCCAAATGACTCAGTGATGTGCTAGACTAACATCGGTATCCATTACCGGTGCCACATTTATTTATGGCACTAAGCGCTGTAACATGGTTTGCCAAGCTTGACCTTGCTGACCTCTCTGCTACAAGACTGAGTGGGATCAAACCCAAACCTTATGCCTACAGACGAGCTAACCGACGTGGTAGATAAATGTTTATCTAGGCAGTTCTATCAGTTCTAGGGAACCTGCAAACAAGTGTGCATTTTCCAGTTCTATCAAATGTATTGGTTTCATTTTCGACAGGAATATCCGCCATCCTGATTCAGAAAAGATCTCTCCAATAAAGCAAATACAAGCGTTTACGCATCTAGCAATCTTACGATCCTTCCTTAGTCTGATAAGCCAGCACAGTGTACTTTTCCTCGAAACGCAACAGGTCACCCTTCTGTATTTGACTTCATTTAGGCCTTCTTGTCGATCATTTCAATCTAATTATGGATAAAGATATTGTGTCAGACATACCTGACTAGGGCATCGGAGCGGTGATTTCCTGATGGAACTGAGGAGCCATAACTAACGGAGCCAGATTCACAATCGTGCAGATGGCAATCGTGCTTGCCACCTAAAGATTTCACGTGCTGTACTAGCGTCATATGACTCTCATCATCAAACACAAACCTTTTATTGGTATGTTTGGATCAAAGTTAACCACCTGCAACGCTGCAACTGTACTGTTGGGTCATTCCTTTGTCAAATAACCCATCAACTGGAATCAGCAGTCAAAATGACACCCTATCAAGATCGATACATTCTTAACGCAGAAAACGGTGACACGTTTGCCGCATTAGGTGCGGTGGAGCCGGAAATTCACGCTGTGCTAACTGTCATGATTTGAGTACCTCTAATCACTTCTCCCATGGTCCGTGACATTCCAGAGGTAAGTCCATGTCCACTGAACGCGTTGGCCACCGAATTATCCTATTATCAACTTCTGTCGTTCTTTAGGAGTGTGTAATCTTCCCGAAGTTAGTGGTTATATCCTTTTTACGCATTGTGTAACTCGGAATTACAATATGCCATGTTATAAAATTTCATCCATGAACCGACTACCATCATTAAAGACCGCAAAATCAGTGCTGGCGCTGATGCTTTACTTCGATACGAAGATAGTTTATTCAATTTTACTTGAAGCCTTAGAAGCAAAGGAAGATAAAAGAATGCTTAAGGGAGAACCTGGTGCTCACGTGGGGGCACCAGCGGCGAAAATCCCGAGGTGCCTACTCCCCAGGCACTCAATCAGACAATCTGAAAATTGACAGCACAAATGCCACTGACATCGCGCGCCTGGTTTTACTACCAGTGCCCTAAGACAGCGCTGTAGAGGTCACGGAGACTTCAGAAAACCGGACTAACAACGCTCAAACTCTTCATCTTTTGCACCCCCTTCTGCCAAGACGTACGTTGTTCACCACATTCCTAAAAAGACACAGAGAACAATCTTTTCGTCAAACGCTGTTTTGGTATGCGTAGCACATGGCCCATCGGCCGCAGTCGAGGTAGTTAGATGTTTTGCCCGACCACATAGCTTCGAATGTTCTGCCTGCTCAAGGCCACAGATCAGAATTTTTCATGTTCCTTCGCAGCTGAAGTGTTCACTGAGCAAACGCCCGTTTTTTGATTGCCTCGTTACGAATCCGTTCACGCTAGTTGACACCAGCAACGCTTCTGAGACAAAGCTGGTGAAAAAATGGAGGCGCCTCACATCATCTGTCAGCAGAGACTGTCTCGCCACCACACAACACAAGCCACACCGTAGCCCGGTGTACGAGATCCTTGAGACTCTGTTTGCGAAATTCGACAAGAAATGAATGGACGTTGTTCCGGCACACCACTTGTTGGGGGATGTCTTTTGGAGACCCCAACATAAACTTCACACGCTGATGTATGCGAATATAGCGATTGTCTGCACAGATGTCCTTGCTCTAACACTTGACGGAGCCTAGAGATGTGATCGACGCAGCCTCTTGCTTTTCACGGGTCAAAGAATCCCGTGTCGCCGTAAGGTGATAAGAATTCAATGGCTCCAGAAATCAGTAACAGATATACTTTTGAAAACGGAGACTCTTGTCTCCTCACCTGTTTTCTGGAAGTCTATTTTTGCCAGATAGACACAAATAGGATACACGGGCACTGTCTGTGAAACTCACCGCCATCCTTGGATAGACTAGGTGGAAAGTCGCCAAGACCAGCAGCACGATGACCCTTGAATAAAGACATACACTACAGACCTTCATTTGAAGGTCTGGAGTTTAGACTAAATTTAGCAGGTAACCAAATATTAGGCGGGATCTCGCAGGGGCAACACTTCACCGCTTGTAACTAGGCGAGGCTAGGACCCAGAACCTACTCTGACGCCATTGGCCAGAATACAAGACGCTTGTCAACCCCACATCAAAGCAAACTTTGGTTGTACGGAATTCTGGATTTATCAGCCAAGCATGAACCAATATCCGCCGAATGACGATTGCTACTAACACTCAGAATGAATAATAAATGCCGGATTGCTGTAGGCTTGCCAGTGCGAGGATTCGCATAAATGTCTAATGATGCTTTGAACCGGGCTCTAGAAGGAGCGTAAACAACCGTCGGAGGAAGGTTATTCCACGCAGCCACTACCTAAAATGAAATTTTTTTTGTATAATGAATGTGTGTGCTCTGAGCTTGAAAATTTTCTTACTATTGGTGTTTGCTGGGTAAAAGGTGAAAACCCTGTTTGCCAAGCTTTGTTCAAACAGGGCATAAGTAAGAATTAGGTCCCCTCGGCGGCGACGGTACTCCAGGGAAAAGAGATCAAGAATCGCGAGACGCGTTTCGTAGTCCACGGATTTGAGGCCGGCAACCATTCTCGTAGCGGCC